ATCCTAAAACATCTCTTTGAATATTTTAATATTCATAGTGAAAGATTAATTATATAGAATAAATCTCAAAATAAAATCCTTTAATATATTAAGAAAATAAAAGATCTATCTGATAAGAGCCAGGCAGAAGTTAAAAAAGTAACAGGGAAATGAATCCAGGATATTATATAATAGGATGAAAACTTATATAATACAGTCTATGGCTTTATATATAGAGACAAGACTAAGATCTTAAAAGAATATCTCAAAGTCCTTAAGATCTTAGCAATAATAACACAAGAGGCTATTGGCAAATTTTGTAAAGAAATAAGAATGACCTTTAAGAAGAAAGTCTGAAACAAGCTTTGTAGTATTACTATCAAATAGAAACAAAATCAAAGAATTATTAGCAAACTCAAAAGGCTTAGAGTATCAACTGATATGACTAGAAAAATGGATCAAGTCCTTAAAGAAGTCAATAACTTCTCTATTCTTTTTTCTAGAAATATAACAAAAGAAAAAAAAGACATAGAATGAATGAAGTCCTAAAGCAATATAGTAGATATAATAAGTAGTTGGATATTCAAAGGTTTTAAATGGTTTGGTTTTTAATTATAGTTAGAATTTCAGAAAATCTATAGTAATGAACTGTAAGTAATGATCTAAGTGACTAGAGGATAATTCAAGCTATAAAGAGAGTGAAATATCATTCCTTAAGTTGCATCTAGAGAAGGTTAAACTTTATAGATGTGTGAGTCAATATATAAAAGTTATAAAATATATAAATACCAAATATGTTTACAATAAAATGAATAAGCCATATTAACCTGACTGTAAGTTAAAAAAAAAAAGCAATAAATTATTCAGTGAATTATGATTTTAGGAAGTGTCTCTTAATTAAATAAAATTTAAAATAGTAGTGGTACTTCATTAAATTAGTAAATTAAATATATCCTTAGATCTTCTAACTTTGTTAAGAATTAAAAAAAAAAATCTATACTGAATAGTTACAGTATATAATTTTTCTATTCTAATTAAATGAGGTATAAATATTGTATATGTTTCTTATATTATTCAATAATTTGTAAATTCATAAACAGTATAAGTAATTACTTATTCCAATTATTTCTAGAATCTATCTTAATAATTAATAAAGTATTAAAGCTAATGCAAGAATAAGTTAGTATATTAAAAAAAAAAATAGAAAAGAGAATTGATTAAATTATATATTATCAAAAAAAAATTCAAGATCTATAAATCTAATAAGATAAAACTATAATCTGATTAATTTTTTGAAATCAGATTAATTTATTCAATATATTCAATATATTCTTTAAGATCAATAAGGACAAGAATTTTTTTGCAAAATTAATTTATAACCAATTTTATATTAAAAAAAGAAAATCAATGTTTATTCAATAATTATCTGTCCAATATGTGAACTTGAAAAAGAGATACTAGATCACTAGTTTAACTATTTAGCTATAAAAGAAGTTAGAAAATATATATAGAAAAAAACATATAAAATATTGAGTTTCTATATTAATAAATAAACAAATAGCAAAAAAAAACTTTGCTAACAACTGATAAGTAGACAAAGAAGTGATTAAAAAAGGTCTAGTAACTAGATAGAAATTTTTTTAATATTATATGTAAATATATAAAAGAAAATAAAATTACATTCTTGAAGAGTTATTTTAAAAGCAATTCAAAATTTCATTAATATTTATATAGTTTATAATTAGTAAGCTTTATCAAAAAAAGTAAAAGAACTTTAAGAAAAAAATTTAAAATAGTTATTGCAATAAAGTAATAAATTGATATTAAGTAATTTAATTTTTAAAACAATAATCAAAACTTAAAATAATTTATAGTAATAATTTTATTAATACATAACTAATCCAAAGTAATAAATGAGTAAAATATTATTTCTTAAGTTGCATTTAGAAAAATAGTTTTTCTATAATAGGTGGATCAATATGTAATAGTTAAAAAGTTTATATATATATAATAAAAATATATCATATTAAGATCTATGAATTAATAGCATAATGATAATTCTTCTAGATTGCAATTATAAGATCTGTAGTTTGATATCATTTAAGGATCAAAACAATCAATATTTCTTTTGATCAAGTTTACTGGCTATCTTGTAAAAATCATAACCAATCATTTGAAAATATGTTTCAATTAGGTTAGACTACAAGAAGATATAACTTTTGACCTTTTATCAATCAGAGATTGAAATTTACAGTTATACTATTGGAAAGATTGTATAAGAAAAAGCTTTTGATCTAATCTATTATAAATATTTTATAATCATCTACTCCTTAATAATTGTTTTAATTTGAAATATTTCAATTTGATGCTTGTTTAAATGAAGAATCTGTTATATAGACCCATCTGTAATACTACAGATAGTAACAAAAAGGATAGAAATCCTCTTTAAGATTCAAACAAAAAGTATTAGGATATCTAAATAATTAGATAATTCTTGAGAATTTGATATTAAGATACATATTAGTTTAATAGTAATCTGAATATAATTAAATCCAATAATAACTAATTTACCAATATAGCTATTAATAACTAAGTATTTGATAATTTGACTTCTAGTTAAGTCTGCTTACTCTTTGAGTATAAATTGACTTTGCTAGGTTAGTTACATTAGGTTATCATTATCTGTATATATATAGAAATATATAGTCTATATAAAGATGATTGATATAATTCTAATAATAATTAATATTGAATAAAAGCTTGCATCTAGTACTTAGTTGCAATATATGAAAAAAAACATGCCAAAGATTATAAACAATACATTTTTATATAATTATTTGATTTTATTGTTAATTCTGTTATCAATATACAAAATTTATTTGTTTTTTTAAATAATAGCATATACTATACATATACTGGATATAGATGGTGAAAATATCTTAGAATGTTTTCTAGATAGTGTTCCCCCCAGTTTTAGTTTTGTTTTTAGAAGAGAAGTATTCACTAGATGGTCATACATTTTTTCTTATCCTGGTTGGGTTAGACTTAGATTGAAGTTTATTGATAGGTAGCTCTTTGTGCTATTATCTCTCTAATGATATGTAATATCCTTAGACAGTACAGGAGAAATATTCATCCCGGTTGTCCCTAAATATGATCTTAAACAAAGCATGGCGGCGAACATAGGTTGAGCCAGTGTGAAAATACAAAAAATATACTGGATATAGAGTTTTGGTTTTTACATATATTGTAATATACTGTATATACTGTATTATACAAAAAGAATAGAACAGATCAAATAAGATATTCTATCTATTTCTAATTGTCTAACCTCCAATTTCAAATTGATGTTTACCCTGACCTATAATATTACACGAGCGAAGATCCGTTAGTATCTTTTACTAAGCATAATGAGAAAAAGGAAATACCTTGGTAATTCATTTGAGGATCTTTGGGGGTTGATTGATTCATTTCAAGATTCTTTGTGGCTTCTCAAACAAGATAAACCCCCACATATGTCGCAAGTGAGCAATTAGGAATTAATCGACATGCACCCATGGCTAAAATCGAATACTTTACTTAATAAAAATCTGGTGTAATTGTCGTGTGGATACAACGTTTTTATGTTTAGAGTGACAAATCTTATCGAATGCGATGTTATTCTGTGTCACAAGAACGTTCTTCGCTAAACTCTGAATCGAACTTCTTGTTACGCGGTTTTTGATCCCGGACTTTTACATTTGCGAATGGGGGTGTTATCCTCTCTTATTATTCCGATACATAACTGAGATTATGTATCAATGACGTCTGAAACAGGACCCCATTTCCTTTTCATTTCCAATATGAGAAGTGCACATGCACACCAAACAACAATAATCTTTTTTCCACGTTGGACGGTTGCTCGAATGTAGCAAGGTTGTTTTTTATGACACCAGAATCTGATCTTTGATTTAATCCATTTGTTCATGAAACTTATCCTCAATCCTCTTTATTTCAACTTAATGTGCTTGCTCTAGTCTATTTTCATTTATACTTCTGATTAAAGTATGTGTGGGCATGGAAGTTTGTAATTAATGTTTTTTGCATTTCAATTTCTCGACGTCCAAGAGTTATCATTATTGGTTGATTTTCTGCAGATTGGGATGGTTTTCTTTCTTTCTTTTTTTTTTTTTGCGTAAGACGTTTACTTTCTAACATCGCTTATTTAAATAAGTAAATGAAACAAAAAGAAAAGAAAAAATTTTTATCACTACATATAATCATGTAGGAATGCTTTCTCTAACCACAATTAATATTTCTAATTATAGAAAAAGTAGACCATTGAAAAATAAGAAATGATGCATCAAAATAATTTACGTGAAATCAGTTTCTCCGAAATACGTACTTATTCCATTTATCGTAAATCTTATTGATATCTTTGTATGAATTCCGTGAACTATACTATTTTTCGCCAAACGTACGCATACATTTGATATTTGACTAACGCTAGCCTTTCGAGATCTACTGTACGTGAGGGAGTAAAATGCTAAGATCATGTTTCTATAAATAAGAAAGTGAGCTGACTCCGGTTCATACAGTACTTTCAAAAAGAAATTTATATATATATATAGCCTAGGGAAAGCAATTCCGTCAAAAACACTTAAGGAGGAGTAAAATTTATTTTAATTCTAAATCGACTAATTGATAGCTCCTATCTTACATTGATAATAATAAAACAAAAAGAACTACCTTCTTAGTATATATATATATATATATACAGTATATTTGTAAGGACTGAATTCGATCTTCTGGAATTTCGATAGCTTTGACAACCGACAACTTTATAAACCATGAATAGAAGAATAACAATAATTTCTTGCTTTTTAATAGCACTATTGACATTGCTTTATATAAACTTTTTGCTCGTAATTATTCCGGACCATTTCGTCCATCCAAACAAATTCAATACTCTAAACAAAACCCTTGGGTTCGAACATATTTATGTCATTAACCTAGCCCATCGATTAGATAGACGTATCAAGATGGAGGCCATAGCGAATGTAATTGGTTTGGACTTTGAATATTTCCCTGCCGTTTCTAGGGATGACTTCGGTATTTTAGAAAAATACAATTTCGACATTGCACCCAACCACAAAACTTGTTACGTTAGTCACTATAGAGTCTTCGAATCAATAGTTAGTAACGGATATAGTAGCGCCTTGGTTTTAGAAGACGATATCGACCTCGAGATCAACATTTCATCGATAATGATTGACATTTATCGCATTTTACCCGCTGATTGGGAAATGTTATACCTTGGACATTGCACCTGGGAAGGAAATGGAGAGCTTGTGGGTAACGCCTCCGATTTTAAACTACTCAAATCCACAGCGCCAGCTTGTACGCATGCTTATGCCGTTTCACTCTTGGGCGCAAAAAAATTAATAAGGGAGTTAGTTCGTCCATCGAGGCCAGTTGATCTGGAAATAAGTAATAAGATTGAATCAGGAATCATCACCTCATATAGCCTTGAGCCATCGGTTATCGTACAGTGGAAATCCAAGGACAATCCATCAGATGTCTCTCCCGGATCAATGCAATGGTCCTATCCTTTAAAGAATTCAACCCTACACTTTCTCGGCTACAAAGAAATATAGGTCGCTTTGATTCATTGGTGTAGAAAAGAAGTACCTTTTCTTTCGAGCATCAACACAATTTTGCCTGCATCACATCCATTTATGTGGGTGTCGTTTTAACAGATATGTTATTCATGTGGGTGTCGTTTTAACAGATATGTTATTTATTATCATCCAATGAAATGCTTATTTTTTCGGATTTTGCTGTTCACTTGTGGTTGACTAAAAAATTGGCGAATGGTTATTTTTACTCTGGCATTAGTAAAGATTTCACATTCACCAAGAATTTTACAATATTTAAATGTTTGTAACTTTAAAAAGGTTAACAAGCTTCGAAAATTGTAAATTGATAAGTCATTTTTTAATTTTACTATGTATATACAGTATAGTTTTATAATCAAATTTTTACATTATTGAATAAAGTTGGGATTCTCGTACCTTATTTTATTTGTTTATTTATTTGTTCTTTGGGGGGCAATTTACATTCTATTAATTATGCCATATTAAAATTTTTTTACTTTAATTATTAAAAAAAATGGCATAATATATTATATAATATGTTAAATAAATATTTTTCATTTTTTTAAATAAATTAAAGATTTTAAAGGTTTTTATAATTTACAAAAAAATTCTTTTTGCTAATTCTTTGATTACATAAAATTTTTTGACTTTTTTGTTAATAAAGTCTTATTATTATTCTTAAAACAACTTGAATAATATTTTTATAAATTATTGGATTTTTTTTTTTTTTTGTTTTACAATTCACTTTAATCCAAAAACTTGATTTTTAATAATAAAAAAAAGTCAAGTAACACCTTTACTAAAAGGAAAAAGAATCAATTGTGAAGTATATAAAGTTTTCTTATTTTTAAAATAAGTTATAATAAAAATTTTCTATAATATTTTTCTCTTTATCAATAGTTTATATTTTTTTAAAACTTTTATTTTCATAATTTCCTAAGAAATTATATTTATTTCAATTTAATTTCAAATTTTGAATAATATAATTCTTATAAAATTTAGTTAACCAATATAAAATATATAAATTTTATAAATATAAACATATTATTATTAATTATTTTTATGTAACTTAATAATATTATTGGCAATAAAAAGGAAAAATCCAATAATATTTTCTTTCAAATACATATATTTTAATTAATCTAAAAATTATAATATAAAAAATTAATACATAAAACTTTATATAATAAAAACATTATATTTTAATCAAGTCAAAATTATTTTTTTTTTAATTTAGTTAAATAAAATTAAATAACTATTAATATCATTATTATTTTTTTTTTAACCTGTAATTATGCCACAATAGCATGTCTTTATTGAAAAATTGAAAATGAATTTACAATATTTTGTAGACTTTCACAAAGCAACTAACTCGTCTTCATATAAAAGTACTCTAAGTCAGATTTTGGGAACAATATTTCACTTCCTTAATAGATTGATAATAATCTCCATCTACCAGGATCATTGCCAACAGTTTGTTACTATTGTTTGTCTGAAAACCAATGAATTGCTAAATTAAAAAAGGGAAAGGAGAAGGACGATTGGGGAAAGGGGACAATTCAAGGCCCACCAAAAAAATTCAAAAATAAAAACAACCTCTTCTCAAAAGGAATCTGCCTAATTGGAATAGTCTTCTTGCTTTACTTGAACCTCAAAAGAAATCTTCTTTTTTACCACCTACAGTATCGGACTAGTCAGTCTAACTGATCTTTCATTTAAGTGAGTATCAGATTGGAATATTTCAAAGAAAGCATTTAGACCTCAGTTTTTTTCTATTAAAGCTTTGTCATCACTTGAAGAACTTTGGTAAGATATGGGAGTTTGCAATCCACATTATTTATCACTTGGTCTTTTGATGTTATGGAAGTTTTCATTAAAAGACTTGAGTTTTTTGAGGGCAACTATTTCTAAAACCTTTTTTCTAATTATTAATGATATCATCAGAACATGGGAATGTGATCAATAGAAGCTTGTTTACATTTCAAAAACTAACGTATTTCGTGTCAGCCAATTATCTTTAGTAAGGATTTGTGCTACCAAAAATTTAGAATCAAACTGAGGTAGACAAAATTCCCCAGAAAATCATGAAAGTGATAACTTTAGGAGACCCAACAGTGACTGGAAAGGGAAAAATAAGTTCTTCTGTTATCAAAACCCTCTATATATCTCTCACTTCAAAGATTAAAAAGGCCTTCAGGTACTTTACAGTCAGTTCTTTTTCCTTTGAAAACTTTCTTACCGTTAGTATCAAAGGTGTTACTTGATTTTTCTTGATCACTAGAAGTCAAGTTTTTGAGTGAAGAGATTTGTAAACAAAAGGAAAAGGATAGAGGTGACTCTTGATATCATATTTTAAGTTATTTTAATGAAAGTATTAAGACTTTATTAGCAAAAAAATATAAAAACTTCTTGCGAATATCTTTTTTGTGTATGGTCAATGGATAACTATTAATATCATTATTTTAATTAAATAATAAATTTAAGTCAATACTAAAATTATAAAATAAAATTTGTTATTAAAAAACCTTAAAATAATAAATTCCTTAAATATTATATAATTTTAATAAACAAAAATAAGTTTTTCAAATAATTCAACAAGAAAATTTTATTATTTATTTTTGAAAAAAAGTTTTAATAATTTTTTTTTTTTTTATCACAAATGAGAAATATATGCAAGTTTTTATTAGAAAATTAATTCATAAACAGTTACATGAATAGTTTTTACAAGGTTGTGATACCTAAATAAATTAACTAATGCCTATTATGATTGTCCTATTGTGACACACTTGCAGTCTGTGACTGGGTATGCCAGAGTAGGGTCGAATGGCAATTACTCATTCGAAAACGATGCTATTATTGTTGAAGATAAGATAGAATAACTAGTAGAGTTTAAGAGTCTATTTGAAACTGTTAAAATAGTGCTAAGGAGTTTATGGGATTGGTTTGATAGTTGATTGTCAGGTGATGGTTTGGTTGCTTTCATGAAGTTTTAATAAATTTTTTTTGAAAAAATTATATTTTATATATAAATATATATATATATATTAGACTTTAGTATTTTTTTTTTCTTACAAAATTTTAATCTTATAATATAATTTAATTATTAATAAATAATTAATTAATAGCTTGTTAATAATATATTTTTTTTTTTAACTTACAATCATATTATGATAACTTGTCTTTATTGAGAAATTAAAACAAAATTCATAATAGTTTATAGACTTTCATAAAGTGACTAATTTATCTTTATATATAAATACTCTAAATCAGATTTTGAAAACAATATTATATAAAAAAACTCTTTCTCACTTCCCCCTACTTGGTGAAAATTTCCTTTTTAAGAGATCTTCTTTTCCCCTTCCCCTTCTTTACTCCATGTGCGCAAATAACAACTATGCAGTGGACAAAGTCTAAGATGTGCTAATACCATACAAAGCTCTGTTATCTGACTTGTTGATGTATGGAAAGTATTACGTCTAAGGAAGCGTGAGCGGATCAGCACTCTGCATATGACAAACGTCTGAGACAAAGAAAAGTGTTCTTAGGGGTGGAGACACTCCTGGAGCAAGGCTTTGCATTTGACTAAGTCATCATAGGCAAAAATACCTTTATTCTCCTTAATTTTTCTCAACTTCTTAAACCTTCCCCACCTCTTCTTTTTTTCCTGTTTACTCTCACCTCCTCATTTTACACCCTTTCTGTCAACAGATAGCTTTCCCCTTTTCCAAGGTTTTCTTCTTAGGCCTATCACTTCTTTCTCTATCAAACCATTTCATCAATCCCATGGTATATTAAACCTTCTCTCTGAATAAGTTAGTGGGCTTAACTCACGAAAAAGGATACTTGATAATACCACTACTATCCAAACTCAAGAAAAAAACTATGGGACTTTCTCTTGTTTTAACCTTCTCCCAAATTCCACCAAAAACCGTAATCAGCTTACCCCTTCCAAAAGATCAGCACAGGCTGATCATGCCTTATTAGAACCAAGGTCCCTAGTAAGAAAAGACCTATGGTCTATACCTCAATCTATTCACCCTCCTAACTCAAAATATTCCAATATAGTGCTTTGCTTAAATGAAAATCAGTCAAATGGGACTGATCCGATGTCATAGGTGGTGACAAAGAAGGTAATGTGCCCCCTTCCAAGGCTTGAGCGAATAATATCTGGGAGTATTGGAGGATAAAACTGAATCCTATCGGGTACATACCATACAGCTAGTTTAGTAAATATAACAAAAAATTTATAAAAGCTCAATATTGAATTAGCCTGTTTTGCCATCGTTGACTGTGTATTAACTGTCCGGCCCCTAGCTGGATCTGTTCCACTCACAGAGTGGTTAGTGGATCCACCTAGAGAAAACCATAATAGATTATCATTAATCTGCATGTATATAGAAAATATATAATTTGTATGAGATAATTAATATGATGCCCAAAATTTCATTATCTAAGATGTTAAGTTAATTCTTAATAAAAACACTCACATCTAATATTAGTTGCGGTTTAAAAAAAAAAAGAAAACAATATTATATTTTCTCGATAAATTGATAATAATCTTTATTTACCAAAATCATTATCAACAGTTTGTTACTATTAATTGACTCAAAATCATTGAGTTACTAAGTTAAAAAAAGAAGAATAAAATTGATTTAGGGAAAAAGAACAATTCAAGACTTACCAAAAAAAATCTAAAAATAAAAATAATCTTTTTTCAAAAAGAATCTGCTTAATTGAAACAGTCTTTCTGCTTCACTTAGATTTCAGAAGAAATTTTCTTTTTTATTACCTATAGTATTAAACAAGTTAATTCAACTAGTTCTTCATTTAAGCAAGTATCAGATTGAGATATCTTAAGAAAAGTATTTAAACCTCAGCTTTTTTTATTAAAGCTTTGTAATTATCTAATAAACTTAAATAAGAGATAGAAATTTGCAATTTATATTATAATTACTTAGTTTTATGATATTATGGAAATTTTTATTAAAGAACTTGAGCTT